CCCAGTTTATATAGTGAAACTTGATTCCTGCTTAGCTACGCTTTAACCAATCATTGTAAAATAAAGTCCTACAAAATAGTGTTTCTCACCAATCCTAGCCCACCACTACTAAACATTTTAACCAATCACATCCCACCACCTTAGTTGATTTAAATCTTACAAAATTAGTTATGTAACAAAAACAATTAAAGAATCAGACAGAGACCAGACAGATAAACAATAGGGAAGTGGGGACTATAACAAAACAATAAAGAAGTGGGGATTTTACAACCACAACGGTTGATAAGTGATTCCTTGCCAGACAGAATGCCACCAAACAACGTTTTCTTTAACCATCTTAAGCTCTGTCTCTCCGCCTGGTGATGGGCGGGGGGGGCTATTGAAATAGGAGCCCCCTGACCAGCCCGATATGACATTGCTTTGATGCAGTTTAGATGGAATGGGAGGATGTGACTCTCGGCTTCTTAGCTTATGCCTGATGCTGCTTACTGCAGAAAAAGGCCCGAGACCTTACAGCACAGGTCACAGCGGTTTACAAGGATCCCCTGGGTTTGAAATCTACATAAGAGGTGAGCCAAAGGGGGATGTAAGGTATCTACTTACAGCCCATAGTCCACTGGTCACCCAGCCTAAACATTGCAAAACATTTCCCAGAAACTGGGAATGGGCGACAGGGGCTGGATCACTTGATGATTCCCTGTTCTATTCATTCCCTCTGGGGCACCTGGCACTGGCCACTGTCGGCAGACAGGATACTGGGCTAGATGGACCTTTGGTCTGACCCAGTACGGCCGTTCTTATGTTCTTAAAATGTATGTAAGGCTATTATTTAAAAAGTTATGTATCTATACTGAAAACTATGTTCTTAAGATATATCAGCTAAGACAGGTCACCAGAAGATGATAAACAGGTGTTGTGCGTCTTCCAGCGTAAGTCTATTTGCAGACGGATCCACCAGCTAATCTAAATTGCGAAGTCGACAAGAGATCACAACATGTTCAGGAAGGCTGCACAGCAGGAGGGTGTCCTGTTTATGACTAAAATCAAAGCATTAATCTGGTATATCAGGAGATGGCAAAGAAACACACGGTGTCCATCTCCTAGGGGACAAGTTGAGAGCGTGGCTTGTTTCATGAAAAGGGGTCACAGCTTCTCTGGCTGGAAAAAGCTACGAAGACTTTGGATGGAACTTCATTAGATAAGACAGTCCCTTGTTAGGTAAGTCGAGTCTCTAGAAGGCGTATTATGAGTTTGTATTAGATGTAACTAAGTGTTTCCAATACTTTCACCTACCTGCTATTCCGTTCATCTCTGTTCTTTGTGATAGAAACGTATACTTGTTTTCACTATAAATGAATCTAAGTGCTGTGAGTTGAGCAGAGCAATGATCCTGGTGTAGCTTTCTCGCCCAGTTCCGTAGCACCTAAGCACGGCATTCACTCCGCCCCCTCCTCTGTCCTCTTCCACCTCCCCTTCCCCTGGCTCCTCCTGCAATGCAGCCCCTTGTAGCCAATGACTGTAGGTTATTATCCATTTAATGTGTGATGTTATGATTAAGCAATATGTTATACTACATATAGTCAGTGAATGTTAACCAGAGTTAATTTGTAGGAGTATAAAAGTATAAGATTGATCAGTATTTAGAGGAACCAAATATTAGGCCTGGTCCCCACTTAGTCCGGACTTCGGACTAAGGTACGCAAATTCAGCTACGTTATTAACGAATTCGAAGTACCTTAGTCCGAACTTACCGCGGTCCAGACGCGGCCGGAAGTCTAACCCCGTCAACGCCGCGTACTCCTCTCGGCGAGCTGGAGTACCGGCGCAGACTGTGAGCACTTCCGGGATCGATCCCAGAACATCGATGGCGTGCCGCCGGACCAGCCGGTAAGTGAAGACTAGGCCTTAGACATGAGTAAGACGAGCTGAAACACAAGAACCCACAGGCTGAGGCCTGCAAGACTTTAGCTCAGCTATTTTAGGCCTTTGAGACAAGAAATGATGATGTAAATCAATGACCGAGAACTAACCCGAAAGATTATGGGGAAAGAGGTACCAACTGGTAATATTGTGGAAGTGAAGCCGGGAAGATTAAATTTAAATGATAAAATGTTGTAACGACAAATATTGTCTCCAACCTGTGCCTTTACCACAAGATAAAGGTGGTACGTCAATGTTAACGAGAACCTACCCAGCCTCTAGAATTCGGGGTCCCTTGTGTTTCTAAAGGCCACAGACAAATAAGGAAGAGCGGGGTGACACTTTCATGTACATGTGCAGAATGTAAATAAAATAAAATAAATAAAAAATAAATGAATGGAGATATCCTATCTTCCAGAGCTGGAAGGGACCCTGAAAGGTCATTGAGTCCAGCCCCCTGCCTTCACTAGCAGGACCAAGTACTGATTTTGCCCCAGATCCCTAAGTGGCCCCCTTAAGGATTGAACTCACTACCCTGGGTTTAGGAGGCCAATGCTCAAACCACTGAGCTATCCCTCCCCCCTAATCTGTAGGATTAGACAGACTCACAGAATAAGAAGGGGTGCCCAGAGCAGGAAAATTGAGCTTTCTATGGGAAACTCCAGCAGGACCCACTCCCATATTGATGATCAATCCATGAGAAGGCCAACAGACTCTCTAACACCATCTAGGAGGATGTGAGTATGTCTGTAGGTGTAACTGGTACATGGTGCTTATCTTTAGGAATTGTATATGTTGTGACACTTATAACTTGGTTGGTAACTTTAATAAAACTACTAAAAGATAGATTCTCTTGTGAGTGTATGTGTTATTTCATGTGTTCCTGCAGACTCTAGATCCAGAACAAACAGAGAGAACTCTGTTGAAATTGAGACTGTAGCCGCCAGAGCTGAACCCACTGTAGTATAATTAACATTAACTAGAATAAAAGGCTCCACTCTTCACCCTCCCCTGCCCTATCACTGTCGTTCTGTATTAGCAGGGCTGCAGCAGAGCCTTGCGCCCAGGTCGCACACCAGGGCCTGGCTGCTCTAGGCACAGTATAGCCACAACACAGGGCGCTGACAATGGAGGTGTGAGACAAGGGGTGTCAGGTGGCTGCAGCTAGGCCAATGGGGGAGTGGGAGGGAGCAGGGAGGCCCTGCTGTAGCCTGTAGGGCTAGCCTGCTTGCTTGCCGATCTAGCTTTTCTTATGGGTTTGATCATTTGTTTTATTAGAATGGGTTTATCAGTTTGTATTGGCGTATTCTTGGCTGTAATGCAAGGAACCTACGGGTCACGTCCTGTATGTTGAGCTAAAGCAAGTTAGCAGACACTCGGAGACCTTTAGTCCGAGATAGGTGCTGCTGAGATAAGGCATACAGTATATGTATGTGTGTGACCTTTAACACGGAGAAGTGAGCAAGTTAAAGCAAGTTGGTGTGGATTGGGCCACCTACGTTCATGGCCTTTTTCAGACTTACCCGGCACACCACAAAGAACATAGAAATAACTGGTGCGGCCAGAAATAACAGAGGGGAGAATGAGCTAAATGGTCATCGAGACGCACGAAGGTGCCAGCCTATAGAGTAAGTGCACCTGATATTTCTGTGGGTGAGGAAATTAAGTTTGGACACGGAAGGTGGGCACGTAGTGCTCATGCTCTGTCAGAAGGACAGTCCACCGTGTTAGTGCAGGTCAGTTCATTTGTTGTTTAGCTTGTCCTGGTTAGTTCTTAAGTAAACTCGAAGTTAGCTCCTATCGGATTTAGCTTTAGCTCTAGTTTCTACTATGATCTTCACCTCCCACTCAAGATTTAAGAAACCTGAACCATCAGACTCTCTTGGCATGCCAGAGACGAGGCTGGTCCTTTGTCTCTTATCACCAGGTTATCAAGGAAGGGTGTGAGTGTGTTAATTGAGAAACCTTTATCATATATAAAACCATGTGTACTGCTAGAACAATATTATGATTTTGTAATTGATTGATTGTTTGATTACTATTCCATTTGTCTCAATAACAGTCTTTAAGGCTACATTTTGTTCTCAGTGTGAGTGTCCTTGTCGTACATCCTGAGGGTCCTTGCAAACTCTGTGTAGCCTGATTCTGGGACAAGAACCTTATTATCTTCTGATCAGATTAACTGATGAGCCTATAATCCATGTTATCTAAACAATATTATTAATCTCCTAAAATCAGGCAACACTGCTGGGCCCTGCTCCGGTCCCACATTCTGGCCTGCAGCTGCACGTGCTCTGTTGGGCCGCCCCCCACCAGGATCAGCTTAGGCTCCAACTCGGTTCCCTGACACCTGGGCACAGGCCTCAGGCTGCCCGCCCGGCCTCCCTGACAGCCTGCAGGCACCTGGGCAGCCTGAGCCGGGCAAAGCTGGAGGCACAGTCACAGGACGGGGACATGGAGGCCCTCATCCAATATGGCAGCCTCTGGAAGCCTTAATCAGGCTGCCCTCATCAAAGATGGTCGAATGCCCTTATCCAAGATGGCTGCCCCTCTAGGCCTTAGGCGGTCTGCCCTCATCCAAGATGGCCACTCCTTCAGCCCTTAGGGCATCTGCCTTCATCCAAGATGGATGCCCCTTGAAGCACTAGTTGGTCTGCCCTCATCCAAGACCTGTCTTACTCAGGCTGCTCTCATCAAAGATGGCCACTGCGAACCACTCTCATCCGAGATGGCTGCCTTCTGAGTAGTAGAGCTAGACTGACAGTAGACACTCATTAGTAGCAACGTATCGGTACCCTTTTGCTATCTTGCTCCTAAGAGGCTGTTGCTGTTCTGGGGAGTGTCATCTGACCAAAGGCAGCCTGCTTTTTCTGATCTGTCAAGCAGCGACAGTGCAACGATCTAGAGTTGTGACAGTACAGGGTCTGTTTACTATTATGGCTACAGTATTGCATTAGTGCACATACTGTACATTTTAAACACACGCTCTGTTCCGCATTTGTAGCCTACGCCCAGAAAGCAGCATTCATTGAGTAACAGTTATAAAAGTATCAACTTTTATATTTTTTTATGTTTTAAGAACAATCAAACATCAACCATGACAACAAACAAAACTTCTTGTGAACATTTTTTGTACCAACATTTACTGTAATACTTTGTACGCACTGTAGATCACCCTGGATAAGGGCATCTGCTAAGCTAACAATACGGCAGTAACCTAAATTAAAGAACTGTTCCACATCAGTGTATTTTATTTCTACAGTGAGTATCAACCTGTACACTAAGCATGGAGAAACTCACTCATTTGGGGTGAAAGAACTCTGTTAATTTGCTCTGCTTCTTCTCAGTCACAATTTTGTTCTGAAGGTGGGATTCAATGTCCCAAAGCGACCGGTAGACCCTGTCCCCAAGTCCCTCTAGCTGCGAAAAGTGCCGAAGTGTGTTCAAAGCCTTCAACAGCTCGGAGTTTGTCGGGGATGGAACTTCATCAAAATCATCCTCGCTCTCCTGAGTATCCTCTGCATTATGATACGTTTCATCCACACAAGCGCGTTTCTCCGGCCTTGCAGCAGCTGCAGTGCGCAGTAATTCCTCGTGGGTTAGCTCTCCGAACGTCAGCAAATCTTCGTCCACAGCCACAGCAGTTACTAAGTCCTCTTTTTCCATGTTGCCTGGAAGTGGAACATCGTTCAGGGGGTCGTCAAACTCTGCAATATCCTCGTCTCGCCCACCTTCCTCTGCCACAACAAATTTGCCTTTCCGGAAACAGTTGGAAATTGTTGTCGGCTTTACATCTTGCCAGGCCTCAGCAACAAGATGAACGCAATCTAGCAAGTTCACAGTTTTCAGGACTGTCTGAACATCGGCGCTGGGGTCCACATCGAGAGCAACATTAATCCGGCTTGCGATTTTTGATCGGTAATGTCCCTTCATGTTCTCAATGACACCTTGAGCCATAGGCTGCATCGAAGACGTAGCGTTAGGGGGTAAGAATTCGAGCTGAATGTTAGTGAGAACCACTCCTTGCGGATGTACGGAGCAGTTAGCCAGGAAGAGGCATATCTGACGGCTCTGCCAGCAAAGCTGACGATCCCACTTTTTCAACCACTTGATGAAAATCTCACCTGTCATCCAGGCATTCGCTGAACTGACATAATTGAGGGGAAGTTTCCTGAAATCCACCGGAAAGCATCGGGGTCGTTTTGACGTCCCGATCATGACCAGCGGGCGTTTGTCACTCCCATCCATGTTGGCACAGACGAGCACTGTTACCCTGTCCTTTGAAGCTTTCCCTCCTTCTTGCTTTTCATTTTTTTCTCCAAGTCCTCTGTCACAGAGCCCTTTCAGATAAAGCCCTGTTTCATCAGCATTGTAGATGTCAGCCAGAGAAAACTTTTCAAGGAGACGCGGAAGTTTTTCGCACTGCCACTGCTCAGCGGTGGGTTTGTCCGCTGACTGTTTTCCACCCTGCTCTTTTTCGCAAGCAACATTGAAGCGTTTCTTCCATCTGGTAAACCAACCGTCGCTTGCCTTAAAATCATTCAGTCCAAGGGAAGCGGCGAGCTGACGGGCTTTTTCCTTGACTGCGGGTCCAGCCAGCATCGCCCCCTGCGCCCTCTTCTCCTTGAGCCACGTAAAGAGAGCCCGGTCGACAGCAGGGGCTTTTCCTTCCCGCCCGCGCTTACGGCAGCCGTTCGACTGGCCAGCTTCGTAGTCAGCCAACAGCTTTTCCTTCTGCTGCCAGATCCGGCACACGACCGACCGGTGCAACTCCCACTTGGCGGCCACTTGGCTCTGAGTGGCCCCCGGCCGCTGGCACTCGCGGATGATCTGCACTTTCTCCATCAGCGAGAGGCTTCTTGGCATTTTGTCTGGGTTCGCCCCACACCACGCGATGCCAGGGGCGGCGGGGGCGACGTCCCCACAGCACAGATGGGGCCTGTACCCGCCAATGCCCAAAGCGCTGTTGGGGGGAATGGCACTCATTCACTGTGGTTGCTCTTACACAAGGCTCTTGTTGCACACAAGCATCGCCTGCAGCTTCAACATGGCTGCCCCATGCCTTGCCCTCATCCAAGATGGCGGCTTCCTTAGCACGCATTGCCTGCAGCTTCAACGTGGCTGGCCCCTGCCTTGCCCTCATCCAAGATGGCGGCTTCCTTAGTAAGCATCACCTGCAGCTTCAACATGGCTGCTCCCCGCCTTGCCCTTATCCAAGATGGCCGCCCCCAGCGTCCTCTGATCAAAGATGGCGGCTTCCAGCTTGGCTTAGCCTCGCTAGCCCCCGAGAGCTGCCCTTGCCTGAGATGGCCGACGAGGCGTCACTGGGAGCCTGCGCCAGGCTTTCCGGCGGGGGCGGGACCGGGAGAAAGTGAAAGTGACAGAGAGGCCGCCGCGCCGCGGGCAGGGAACGGCCCCCCCGCCCCCCCCGTTAGGGAGAGACCCCCCCTTCCCCCCCCCCCGGCGTGACCCGTCAGGTGAGAGCCGGCGGGGGGACACGGGGAGACCCCCCCGCTGAGAGCCTCCTCGCGGGACAGGGACCCCCCCCGCTCAGCGCCCCCCCCCCCGAGCTCCCCCCCTGCGGGACAGGGCCCCCCCCCGAGCGCCCCCCCTGCTGAGCTCCCCCCTGCGGGACAGGGCCCCCCCACGAGCACCCCTCCTCCTGACTTCCCCCCTGCAGGACAGGGCCCCCCCCGTTGACGCCCCCCCCCCCGTGGGACAGAGCCCCTGTCTCCCACTGAGCCCTCCCCCGGAGGTCCCCCCTTGGGACAGCCCCCCAGTTGAGCTCTGCCCCCCAGAGAGAGACCCCCATCCCTGGGACCATACCTAGGGGAGGGAGACCCCCCGGTTGAGCCCCGCACCCCCAGGGAGGGAGACCCCTGAGACCGCCCCCCGCACCCTGGGGAGAGGCGGCTCCCTCCCCCCCATTGGCTCCCCTAGGTGGCCCCCCAGCGGCCCGGCCCCGGGGCCCGGCCATGCCGCGGCTGGAGGAGGTGGCCAACGTGGTGCTGCGGGTGCCCAGCATCGTCCTGCTGGACCTGCTCTACCGCTGGGACGTCCAGGCCTTTGCCGAGCTGCTCCGGCCCAAGCAGGAGGAGGCGTTGTGGCGCCGCCGCGCCCTGTGGCACGGCTACTACCTGGGTGAGGCTGGGGGCACGGGGGAGCGGCCCTGCTCCGGGCAGCGAGGTCTGCGCCCTCCCAGGGAGCGCCCAGCAGGGGACGGCGAGGCCCGGGGAGGTGTCGGGGCCGCCCACCCTCGTGTTTCATCTGGACGCGGGCGGGAGGTGCAGACTGAGTCCCAGCATGCATTGCTCCTTGGCGCGCGGCATGCTTGGGCCGGCTGTCTGCATGCGCCATAGCTGGAGCGGGGCACTGTCTGTATGGGGGCGTAGGGTCCTGGGCGGAGACTGGGTGCTGCCCCCCCAAGCGGTATGTGTGGATAGTGGGGGGCACAATTTAAAGGTTCGGCTGCTCCCCCAAACAGCTTAAGTCACTCAGACCCCCCCCCATCCCCGGGCACAACCCTCCCTTGCCCTCACCGTGCTCCCTCAGAAAGTGGCGCCCCCTCCCTGTAGCGCCCAGCTGCTGTTCCAGCCTCTCCCCGGGGGGCGCAGATTGCCTGGCCTCCGAGATCAGGGCTCCACCAGCTCCCGTGCATGGAGGGGGCCCAGCGGCATCTTGTGACTGAGTGGGGCTGGCTGAGTCAGCAGGAAACCCATGTGTGGGAGTGGGGAGCCCCTGCCCTGAGCCCTTTGGAGGCTGGGTGGTTTCCAGCTGTGGCTTCCAAGGCGCCCCCCAGCTGGGGGCTCCTGCATATTAGCCACCCCATGGTGTTCCCTATCCCCCCCAAATACAGAAGTCAGACTAGACTGTGTGCGTGGCAGGCCGGCTTGTGAGAGCGCTCTGAACGGGGCATATTTTGGGTGGAGCTCTTGCCTGTCACATCGCTGGGGGATCGGCTGCAGGAGTGGTGGATCAATCCTAGCGCAGCGGGACCCTGCTTCCTTCGCTGCCCGATGACAGTAGCTAACTATGGGCCAGGACAGAAGGGCACCCCAGCTTCCCCTGCCCCCAGATATCTGTCTAGGCAACACCTCTCACAAGCTTTGATGTGGCTGGCAGGCCTGGGGATCTCCGTGTCCTGGGTGCTCCAGTCTCCGGCAGTTTGACAGCAGGATAAAGGTCTTTGGTTTGCAGGTTGTCCCGGGAGTGCTAGCTGGGAGCACGGCTGCAGAATAGCCCTTTCCTCCTCAGGTTTGGGCATGTAACTAGCTCCGTTTGGCTCCTTCCCGGGCCAGCAGGAGCTGGTCTGTTGGCTCGTGAGCTCTGCAGGGTGGATGCTGCCTTGGGCGAGGGAGCTGGGTTTGGGTTCAGAAAAGAACCAGGTAAGTTCCTGGAGGATAGGTCCATCCATGGCTATTAGTCCTGGCTGCAGCCCCATGCTCTGGGTGTCCCTAGCCTCTGACTACCAGAAGCTGGGAGTGAACGACGGGATGGATCACTCGATAATCGCTCTGTACTGTCCATTCCCTCTGAAGGCAATTCCCTGGCGTTGGCCGCTGTCGGCAGACAGGGTACTGGGCTAGCTGGAGCATTGGTCTGACCCACTCTGGCCATTCTTATGGGTTTGACTGGTGCATCATCCAGAGAATCATTAACCACGTTCTGAATGCAGACGCTTTCTTGTTGCTGTATGAGGAGGAAGGACCTGGCTTGATGGTCGAGTCCCAGGGCAGTTTGCAGGGCTGGCAGGTTTTGTTAAAACCTGTTCACTTGCAATCCAAGCCCATTGAATCATAGAATATCAGGGTTGGAAGGGACCTCAGAAGTCATCTAGTCCAACCCCCTGCTCAAAGCCGGACCAATTCCCAGGCAGATTTTTACCCCAGTTCCCTAAATGGCCCCCTCAAATGGCCCCCTCAAGGATTGAACTCCCAACCCTGGGTTTAGCAGACCAATGCTCAAACCACTGAGCTATCCCTCCCCCCAGGCATCCCTGAGAGGCAGTGAACAAAGTCCCATGGTGCCATTTTTACTAGCGCGCGCAGGTTTCCCCTTCTGG